ACACACACACACACACACATGTATATATATATATATATATATATATATATATATATATATATATATATATATATATATATATATATATATATATATACAGAAGTGACAGCTCAATTGATTACACAGCAGCTGCTGTCACTTCCGTATAAATCATTCGGTCAACGTTCCACTGGTCTTGCAGATCATAATCGGGTCAGGATATCATAATCAGATCAGGGCATGACACGTGATGTCATGTAAAGTACAATGCTACCAAAACATGACTATATTTCAAAAACAAATCCAGCTCACATGACAGACATTGTTCGTGATAAGACGTTCGTGCAATAAAGCAAAACATCTGGAAGCAAACAGGTACACGATAACGTGGCAGTGTATTTTACATGGTGCGCATGAGAGAAAGCACACAAGTCCACATAATGGTTGCAGGGGGTACGCAGAACCAATGACATTTGATGATTTGACAGTCCTAAGATTAACAAAATGTCTGCTTCGTCCGAATATGGAAAAATGTCAATGTTGAGGCAAATGTCAAAACAAATGAATGATCCCGGATGGGCAGAGCGTCTGGGTTGGAAGAAACGTTTCCTCTACGATCAGCCTTCAAAAATGATTTTGTGCTCTGCGGTGCTGTCTGCTCAGGTTTGAGACCATATATGAGGCGCCACACAGAGTAAAACAATATTTATAAACGATTGCAGACGGAGCAGTTGGAAAGCTTGCCTTTCAACTGAAAATATTTGCACTTCTTTGTGGTCATAAATTGATATAAGATGAAAGCAGTTTATAGATACAAATATTCCACCTGTCACCGCAATTATGTCCTCGCATTTCTGTCTAAACATTGCTGTGCTTCGCGTAGAGCATCAGACCTGGGGCAACTCTGCATGGCCTGCGCTCTCTAGTACAGCAATATTTGAGAATGTCTCATCATTCAGTAATCATTTTCTCCAGCCCAGAACTTTCGCCCATGTGAGATCTGTGTCCGGATCTGGGATCTGGATCTGAGTCATTTTTTTCGCCGTCTGCGGAAAAATGTCTGTTAATGCCCAAGATCGTTTGCCGACGCATACACGGTCATATCACTACAAGAAGAAATTGTCCGTTGTAAGCTGGGACACTGGCATATTAAATTTTCCTGGCTCTGAATACAGCTGATGCATCCAGCTGTTACCGGATAAGAGCCTGGTGACCGAACAGAAGCCCTTACTTGTTTTTATTTACCTTTGTAACAGATAATACCACAAATCCGTGACTATTTACACCTACCAAAAAATTAGGAGACAAGTTATATCAACTATTAACTACCTTCCTTCTCAGGTCATATCGAGGATCACGGAATGTCGTTTTGAAATTTTCAACACCTAAGCATCACCCACACACTTGGAAATAAGCCGCCACAACTGCACTTTCCGTCATAGCTGAGATCAATTTTGTTTTCACGTGCCCTACGCAGACCCGAGGGCTGTTGACAGTCTACAGTTGGAGGTGTGTCACTGTCAGCCCTCAAGGCTGGGAGCGGTCTGAGTACGCGCGTGCTCTCGTCCTACGCACGTGCCCTACGCACACCCGAGGGCTGTTGGCAGTCTACAGTGGAGGTGTGTCACTGTCAGCCCTCAAGGCTGGGAGCGGTCTGAGTACGCGCGTGCTCTCGTCCTACGCACGTGCCCTACGCACACCCGAGGGCTGTTGGCAGTCTACAGTTGGAGGTGTGTCACTGTCAGCCCTCAAGGCTGGGAGCGGTCTGAGTGCGCGCGTGCTCTCGTCGTGGTCCGCTGGCCATTTAGGGCTAAGGTCGGCTCGAAAGGAGGCGGATGCCCCGGTCTGGTCCTGCTCGCAGCCACGGAGGTCACCGGGTCGACCTTCGGTCACGGTCCGCCGGTGTGCCTCCGTTTTGAAGTGCTCCGTCACCTGGCCTTTTGAACAGCCGTGACAGGATGGACTAGTTTTGAATGGACTCCTCTGATCTTATCTCGGGTATTCTATAGGACATTATCTGTACGGCTCATTTGTGTACTATACTTGAGTGTTGTCTTGGAGTTTCTAGACAGCGTCATACTCACACACCAGTAGTTATTTATGCGGACCATAGTTGTTTTTTTAAGACTCGATCACTAGTGACTGCTTTATGCTTAATAGACATGAAATGGGACATACATCCTCGTACTTCTCTTTTTACGCCTAGTCAGGATATTCAAGCCGTTTGTAGTAGATTACTAAATAAAAAGATGATGTTGAAGTTTGTAATCGCGTGGCGAAAAAACATAACAATGTTCTCCTCAGACCCGATTAAGCCCGAGGAACACCAATGCTTCTTTCGTATTTCAAACAGCCATGGATTTTGATAATTCAATGTTCTGAACAAGTGGATGTACCGACTGAAGAGCGAATTTTCCATGTAATTTTCCATGCAATTTTCCTGTCAGCGCGTTTACCTGCTGTGTAATGTTATCAGAATATGTTGATGTCTCGTAACCCAGTTCCCTTCGTTTTTATGCACATTTTGGTCTGCTTTGGCTGCAGCACATTTTGGTTCACTTTGTATCTGTTTGAATGCGTCCATTTTTTATTTAGCATGAGTGTGAAGGAACAACAATGTATTTTCCTTTTCTCTATGGCTCAAAGGCTCTATAAAGCAATGGCTTTTCCATAGGTATCTAAAAAGCGCTGCCTACGGCTTCTAGTCTACAGTGATGTTCTGAACGTAGTCGCTTGCTATTAAGCAGAAAGATCAAGAAAACCGCTTTCTGTAGAACATATTTTGTTTCACATAACTGCGATGAAATGGAAGCTCGGAACCTATTTTCAACCCATCCTGAAAATGCTGGGCGCTCAAGAGTATTTTCAGTACCCTTGCATTGTTTCCTTAGTTTCTTGTCGACCTTTCTTTCATCAACCACGAAACCGCCGTCGCTGAGGAGCCTGGATGGTCAAGCTTCACTAGTCCCCACTCATCCTGCCAATCTGCTCGCGTCAGTTAAGCATCTTTTTGTCGGTTTATTGACCAGCTTCCGTTCTTACCTCTCCAGGTACGGTCGCGTGAACGTGTTGCACTGGCTGCTCTGGCAGACCGACCAGATGCCGGCTCCCACGCACACTAGCGCCGCCCGGGACCGGCTCAACAACGGCAAAAACGGCGTACTAGCGCTTCACTATGCCGCCGCTAGGGGATGTCTGGACTGCGTCCAGCTTCTCATGGAGTCTTCGGCCGACTACAAGTAAGTGGATGCGGTTACGGTCTGTTTTCTAGCTATCCAGTTGATGACAGGTGCGCGTCGGACCGTGCGGAAGCGTCACTCGTTTTTATGACGTCACGAGCGTCACGCGCTAAGGGATGCGCAGTGGAAAACCGACTGCTGCGCCCCGGGTGCAGCGAAGAGTCCGCCAGCCGCTCTTGTCAACAACTAAGCAGCGAATGGCATACCGATGATAAGATCGGTCGAGGGTGCGACAGCAATGCAGTTATTTATAACGTACGCTAAGGTGGCCATGGCCTCGCACGTCACTAGGAGTACAGCAACTCTGCTACCTCTAACTACCTCTAACTCTCTACCTACCTTCACCACCTGCCTCTTCCTCTCGCTAACTCTGCTCTACCGTGTGCCTTGCCTGGACTCCTGCTTCTGTCGGCGAAGAGCTAAATAAAAATATCATACATTTCTCTTTGGCAGTGCGTTTCTTAGTATGGCCGTACATGGATTTAGCAGGAATCTGCTTTTTCGTTGTCGTTTTTTTAAAGAAAGAAACTGTTACGCTGGCAAATGCGTTGCAAGGACGATGCTGACTTAAATAACTATCGTTCATGATATATACCCTTCAGTAGCAGCTTCTCGAGTTCATGAGTGATGTGACGAATAGACTGCAAGGAAGATTTGAACTAAATTAACAATCGTTCACGACGCGCGCACACACACACACACACACACACACACACACACACACACACACACACACACACACACACCACAAACACACACCACACACACACACACACACACACACACACACACAACACACACACACACACAAACACACACACACACACACACACACACACCCACACACACACCACACACACACCACACACACACACACACACACACACACACACACACACACACACACACACACACACACACACACACACACACACACACACACACACACCCACACACACACACACACACACACACACACACACACACACACACACACACACACACACACACACACACCACACACACACACACACCACACACACACACACACACACACACACACACACACACACACACACACACACACACACACACACACACACACACACACACACACACACACACACACACACACACACACACACACCACACACACACACACACACACACACACACACACACACACACACACACACACACACACACACACACACACACACACACACACACACACGCAAGTGTAATCAAGTTGTAACTTTTAGCTTCGGGCGAACAGCGAACTGTAGGGTGGTAAAATGTTGTCTATCATGGGAGTTCATGCGTCATTAAATGGGCCGACAACCGGATGCTTGTTTGACGTAAGAATAATCGTATTAGTTGTTGCTTTATTTTCCCCCGACATACTATTTACAACTAACAAAGCGGCTTTAAACCGATAGCCCTCTGGTGTCCCCGCATTTCCCTTCTTCGGAATCCTCTCTCCCCACCCTCTCATCGGCGAGGGCATCGCCGGCCACTGCTTCCCAGATCTGCCGCCAGAGGCGCCGCTGTGCTCTGCCGGGTGGCGCGGCGGCCGGCCGCTCCACGGCCGCGCGCGGCATCCCTCGCAGCATCATCTGGCGGTCGGCGCCGCCCAGTTCTAGTTGAGTGGCTCAGTCCACCGTTACACGCCTGGCGCGCGGTGAAAAATGACACCGACGCCGGTGGCGCGCTCCGAACGCCACTGCGGAGGGAGGCCACCAGCAGGCTGGGAGGGGCTCCCAATCAGCGTTGGCGACGGGGTCACGGCGCCGGTCCCACGTCGCCGTCGGTCGTCACCGCTGCGGAGCTGCTGGGCTTGGGCTTCGGGCTCAGGGAGCCGCTGGGCTTGAGCTCTGGGCTCAGGGAGCCGCTGGGCTCGAGCTTCGGGTTCAGGGAGCTGCTGGGCTCGAGCTTCGGGCTCAGGGAGCTGCTGGGCTTGTGCTCTGGGCTCAGGGAGCTGCTGGGCTTGTGCTCTGGGCTCAGGGAGCTGCTGGGCTTGAGCTCCGGGCTCAGGGAGCTGCTGGGCTCGAGCTTCGGGCTCAGGGAGCTGCTGGGCTTGTGCTCTGGGCTCAGGGAGCTGCTGAGCTTGTGCTCTGGGCTCAGGGAGCTGCTGAGCTTGTGCTCCGGGCTCAGGGAGCTGCTGGGCTTGAGCTCCGGGCTCAGGGAGCTGCTGAGCTTGTGCTCCGGGCTCAGGGAGCTGCTGGGCTTGAGCTCCGGGCTCAGGGAGCTGCTGGGCTCGAGCTTCGGGTTCAGGGAGCTGCTGGGCTCGAGCTTCGGGTTCAGGGAGCTGCCGGGAGGGCTGGTTGATACTGGCTCTTTGTGCAGGCGGAGGTGCCAGGTAGATGTCCGGGGTGCCGAATCCCGCCTCAAAGTTTGGATGCTTGTGTTTGGTACTGGATATGGTTAGGAAAGAAGTGTTTGAAGTCATCCCTAGTCCACTAAGACCTGTCAAATGTATGTGCTTGAGTGAGCCGATAAATCTGTTTAAACGAGCGACCGGATACACCTGCTCATTACCGGTCTAGAGTTCAGAAACGGAAACAGCTGCCAGTTATGGCGTTAACAGCAAAGCTAACAGATTCTTTTAAAGTCACTGACAAGCATTCCCGCACTGAGACTCTGCCATGGGTAGGGATGATGCTAATAAGCTTTACAGCTTCATACCTTGCTAATGAACCGAAAATTACGCCTGAGCCTCAGCAGTGCGCACGCTGACCCTATCCCGAGCACGACCTGGCAAAGCTGTCACACGACGTCTCTCCCAGCCTGGCTGCTGAGCCTGTGGTTCCCAAATCCCAGCCGAGCGCCGATGTCGGGCACGCGCGCGCTCGCGGCGCCCGCGCCGCCGGCCGCTGGCGCACGCTGGGTGAACCCCGCCCGGAGCCGTGCACCGTCTGTTTGTGTCGATAATTGGCGCCTCCGTCCGGGGCAGATGGCCGGACGCTGGTCCGGTCGCGCGCCACCGGTGCCCATCTGCATACAGGGCGCACTGCCCGGGGCTGGCCGCCGCCCCGCTGGACGCAGGCGATCGGGCGGGCAGCTCGCCGGATGTCCGCGGGCACGACTTGGGGGCGGGATGCGCTCTGGCGGTCGGACTTCAGTGCGTGCGTGTTTGTTTCGCTCGCTGCGCGGCGTGATTGGATCGCCGAAGGCGGGCCTTGATGACCGGGTACTGAGGGCGTTATTACCGACACCATGCGGCGATCAGTGGCGCGTCTCCTCCCGCTCTCTCACCCGGGAGTGTATCTGCTTTCTCACTCAGGGAGTGCTCCCAGCCCTCTCGTCCGGAACTGTTACCAGCTTAATGAGGATGTGACGTATTTTTCTACCCCATGATCATGGTATACTGTACAATCAAACCCAAAGACGCACACATTTAACATCTCCCATTATCTGGCTTACAGTAGGCCTTATCTGTAAAGCTGTCGCACTTGGCTGAAGAGCGTTGCCACTGTTCCAAACATGCGCGGAGAGCTGGCAATGTGGTGGATGCTCTCAGACTCAGTCAGAGGAAATACCGATGGTACACAGAATAGTGGCACATCTACTGAGCCACGGTCGGAAATCCATCGTCCCATCCGCCTCCTCCTCGCACCATTCCCTACCGACCTCGCCGCCGGCGGCGCTGTTGACTCCCGATGACCCCCGCTGACCTCCGCTGACCTGTCTGCTGATCCGCGCGTGCTGCACGACTCGCTGCGCCGAGCGAGCGGTCGCCAATGGCGTGGAACTCGGGCGGGCACGTTCGCGGGCAGAAAGTGTGAAGCGTGCCGGCTAGCGGCGGCGGCGGCGACGGCGGCGGCGGCGCGGGGAGGCGGCGCAGCGAGGCCAGAGTGCAGCGCGGCCGCGATGCGGGGCGGCCGCGATTGCCGCGTGACCTGCCCTTGGCCGGCCCAGGAGCTGATCTGCTCTTGCCACTGGTAAGTCGGCGCCGGCGGCGCATCGCCGTCCCCACAGGTCAGCGGTTGATACTGCGTTCGCTGAGGAGCATTACGTTTGTGGTGAACGTGGGCTGGAGGGCCGGGCGCCCAGAGCGCTCTGCGTTTGCTGCGCTGCGGGTTGGAGATCGTGAGAGGTTTTGGGGCGGGACGCTGTCGATGCAGGTTTTCGGCTTGGCAAGTGGTTTTCGTGTGTTCGTTTTTGCCGGCGTGACGTGAGCAGGGATCTGAGAGCGACCATATGGCGTCACGTCACGAACGTGCTCGGCAATTGCGACGAGCATGTGACGCAACAAGGAGCCATGAGTTGACCGCCGTTTACATAGTTTTCGTCTAACCGTGGTGATCGGAGGAACCACGTTTCCGTTCAGAAATATCGGCGGTGCTGTTGTAAGGCCGGTCTCGCTATGCCAACGCCTCTCGTCGTAGACTCCATGTGCTAGATCCCTGAGGCCTGAATAGATAGACCCAAACGATATTCTTACGCTACCTACACGGGAAATCAATTAGGATATTACTGACCCACTGATCTTGGTTGTTGAGGTGATTAATCTGAAGTAATGTTAACGCATCGACAGTGGAGAGGCCAAACATTTGTACCACGGTACCAGCAGCTGGCACTGTCTTTGTCGTTGGTGAGGAAACGGCTTGCGGCTTCCGGCTTGTTTTGGCTGCATTGCAAGCTGGCGATATTGGTCTACGTCCCCCTAACCATTAACAGATTGGCAAGAAAAACAGGGTTGACTTTTCGCTTGAATATACGACCCGACTGCGGTTTCATGAACAGGTAAAGGGCGGTGGAAATAATAAGGTTGTCATGTTTCATGTCCTCCATTTATACAGCCTGCTTTATACTGTGTGTCATAGATCTGCCATCAGCCATCTGAAATATAGCTGTTTTTTACAATGTGACTATCCAAATGCTTGTTCGTTTGATAAAAACCATACCGTCTGGCGCACAATCAAAGCGAATATAATGGCCTCGGCTGTCGTTAAAACCACTCAGCTCAGTGAAAAGAGTACAATAAGGATATCTACCAAAAGCCATGCTCCAGCGCGCCTGCCGACGCCTTCTGAAATGAGACTCTCCACGTTCAAAAAGACGGGTGTTGGTCTAAAGGATATTGGCTGCCGGTAGCCACCACATCCGTCTTTCCTAACGACATGCCGGCCATTTATTCTAGACGCTTAATGAACACCGGTGTTGGTCCGGACGATCGGGGCTCGCACCAGCCAAAATGGGCCAGGTCATTACCGGGATGCACAGACTCGCGCCGTGGGCCGACCAGGCTGCCATCTGTCGGTGGCCGGGCGCACTTCCTACCCCAGCACCGCCGCCGGCCGCCGGCGTGTGATGTCATACTCGTCATGGTCGTCCGATGACGTCACTTGGTCGCGGCCGGATCTTTTGTATGCACCTTTCCCACGGGTAGCCTCATGAGTCGTGCCAGATGTGGCCCTCGGCCTGGATGACGACCCACGCCCTGGCCAAGCATTCCGGGTCCGGTGGGACATCCGCAAGGGCGGATTCAGGCCACTACCTTGGAGGAGGAGGGAGGGGGGGAGGGGGGGGGGAGCAACTAAAGTTCGAAGGGGGATGGATCCAATAAATTATCCTGATTTAGAAAAAAATCGATTGTTTTTATCCTTACTTATCAGGGTGTCTTTGAAAACAGCCTTTCTTAGTGAAATTTGCTCGCTGCATATATCTCATTTTGCTCACCCTGGCCACCTAAAGAGGGGCATGACCCAGTTGGGCCGCTTGAACCCGCCCTGGAGATGGAGCATGCGTGAGGTCTGGCTAAAAATTCCTGAATCCCAGGCCATGCCATCCGACCGTACTCCAGGTCCAGTACGACGGACCATGCCGTGGGTCTGTTCCCTCAAGGTCACTCAGACCAGCCTTTGTTCACGTTCAGCTTGGTTTGGTTTGGTTTGTGTCCCAGGTACGATACCATGAAGCGTACCTTTGGTTTGTCTTCTCGGGCTCGATCAGGCCAACCACACCGCAGGTCCGTGCCCCATGTCTACGCCAGACTAGGATTAGTCATAATCAATCTGAGTCGTACAAGTATGCCACTTAGGTCCTTCTCCAAGCCCCATCAGACAGACATTATTACTGTTGTTGGAATTCATGACCGCATTTGATAGCTTATGTCATTGAGCGTCGAATATTCTTACGCTGATTCACGCGGAGGCGATGAAACCCTGCGCCGGGTGTCGGACTCGAACCCCACACCTCACGGTTGCTAGGGAAACCCCTTCCCAACTGTGCCACATCTTTCCCTCACATGACCTACAACGCACGTGTCTGTGAGCCTGGTCCGGTCAGGCCCCCCACGCTGCGGGTAAGTCCGCGTCCCAGGTCCGCCACCGGAGGCAGGTTTGCCTCCCAGGTCCGCCGCCGGAGGCAGGTTTGCGTCCCAGGTCCGCCACCGGAGGCAGGTTTGCGTCCCAGGTCCGCCACCGGAGGCAGGTTTGCGTCCCAGGCCCGCTGCGCCGTTCGCTCGGCCGGCCGCTCGTCACGGTTCAGCGCCCTTGCATGGCCAACCGGTCAGCCACGGCCGCGCCCTCGGCGCCGGACGGCGGGCAGGGCCGCCTCTGCAGACGGCAGGAGGCCACTGGGGCAGCCGCCGCCGCTGCGCCGCCGCGCCGCCGCGCCGCCGCGCCCCAGGCCTTCGACCCAGAGTCGACTCGTAATCAGCGACTCTGATCGGGCCAGATGGTTTGCTCGCGCCGCTGCATGCCCTCGGCGCCTGCCTGCCTCCGGTGCCTGCTGTCGGCTGCCGGGTGGAGAACCCGCCGGGGTGGTGATTGCTGCTGCTCATGAGAGAACATCGGAACGTTTGCAAGGCGGCTTTAATGGCACTTTGCGCCTTAGGGCTCTGTGAGAGGGCTCTCTTCGCCGAAGGGGTGAACACGGACGGCTGGAGATATCAGCAAGGTAATCAGTAGCTTCTAACTCGAGCGACGATTCGTGTCGGATCCGTAGCAAAGTTTCTAGCAGGTCAACTGACAACTGTCATCCAATTTCATCCTCATGATGAAATGAAATATGCATACGAACGGTTGTATCATCAGTCATAACCAAAATCCCTGGACAAATTATTAAGCTGAAGACGGGCTAATTAGGTGGTGCATTATTCATCAATCATCCTGTTTGCGGAAACCTGTGAACGAATTCAGCATGTTAGGTGCTGTCAGAGAGCTCGTTTGGCGAATTATCATATACTTGAATATGATATCCCATCGCGGAACACGGCATAAACACACATTATTATCCCTTCAATTATGCGTTCTTGTTTTTCCTTGGCGGAAATCTGTACAATATAATTCTCAAGTCGATTTCACGTATAGTTCCGTACTAAAAGTTCTTGCATATCGAGTGCTGCCTGATTTAGAACAATGCTTTTCTCTTGATATTTCTTCGACTTTCCTGAAGCTTGCAGTGTCCATTTCGTAGTGCCGAGGAACAGCCGACTCCGCCAGTACACAGACTCCAAGCTGGCTTCTCTCATTAAATCACTGTAATGAGCGCGGAAACACTAAGGAAGGTAAACAAACCCATGGTGAATACGTGATTGAGGGAAAGCGACTTTGAGTGTCGCGCGCACACTTCTCGAACGCATTTGCGCATTTGCCACGCTGTCCCGCCCGATAGCAGCAGCATCCTGACATGATGGTGTAT